ATAAATACAGGTATAAATGTGTTTTATTTTCTTTATTGGTTTTCCAGAAGACACAGGTAATATTAACCTTGCTTCTGAGCAAGTTCCTTGGCTTTAGCTTTTTCTAATTTAGCTATTCTTGCCGCGGACTTGCTTCCCAATATCCCACCGCCCCAATGACGCCTTATCTCATCATACCGGTCGTTGAAGTTCGTCTTAATGGCTTCAACGATTTTGGCGAAATTAGCTCTATCGCCAGAATCCACCTGAAATAAACAAGCATATTAATAAAATTGAAGCATAAGTGGGAGAATCAGGTTTTTATAAAAACTTTTATCAGAGAATATTGATTTTTCTATATCACGAAGTTTCATTGGATTGGCTCTATTGTAATCATCATGTAAATCGATATGTGTTAATAAGATATAAATTATAAGATTATAAAAGTCTTGAGTGTAATATTTCACATACCTGAGTAAGGGCAATCACTGTGCAGGTCTTGCGTCGAACCAAACGTCCCAAACGCGCTTTGCCTTTGATGATACAGTATGGGACACCCATTTTACGGCACAAGGCAGGGAGGAATAATACGATCTGTTAGATAAAGAATAAATTGGTTTAATATGCAGTAGTACTACTATTTGTGAAAATGTATCAACATAAAAAAAATATTGCTCAGAGTCATATGTCATCTTGCGAACAAAAATAATATTAAGGACTTTTGCCTTCAGGTGAAGAAATTCGATTCATCATGATTAAGCAAATAAATAAAAAATTAAATAATCTTTCCACAATATATATTATATATAATAAATTAACTAACCTCAATAGGGTCCACATCATGTGCAATAACAACCAACTGAGCTTTCTTTTGCTCGACTAGCGTGGTTACCGTATTTGTTCCACTGCGGATTACATTCGGTCTTTTCGTTGGTGTATCTTCTTTCTTTGCAATTTTTTGTTCCGCTCTCGCTTTTAGCCTAGCCTTCTTCATGGTTGCGGTTTCAGGCCTATATTTTTCCAACACTTTGAAGAGTTGTGTTGCTATAATAATATGAAAATATTGTGATCACATTATATTATGTATATATAACAAATTTATAACAGATTTTCACATATATTTGTAGAAATTACCCGTTTGCTTATCCAACGTTTGAGTAAATTGATTGATAGTTGGTGGTACTTTCAATCTCTTTTGTAGGACAGCCCTTTGTCGTTGTATACGTATATACTTGGGCCATCTTACAAATCTGCTCAAGTCACGTGCAGGCTGAATGTCCTGACCTAAATTTTAACAAGTTTCTCATGATAT